CGAAGTTTTCTCACATGTGGACGCGATTTAATAGCTGAGAGTTATTTTACATGTATTTACTCTTCATATGAGAGAAAAAAGTTTCATAAGCTCGTGTTAGAGTAACACTGCGTAAATGTTAACATTTAACCTTGGTTCGCGCAAAAATTTCTTGGAAAAATCCGTAATATGTTTCCCCGACTTTAACGGTGTGTAATACTTGCCAAGAGAAGTAAATACACATTTAAACAATGTTGCTTGAACAAGACTAAAAACGTTCCGGTTGGATTCTGAATGCATTTTTTCACTGAATCTTTATTTGTTGTTCTCGTATAATAAATGTTTCATGGCGTTCTATTCACCATTTATTTTTATTTGCTGTAATGTAGATAAACAAATGTAACGCGGAGCTTTAACCTTATATTGTATATACACACACGCAATGTGTGTGTGTGTGTGTGTGTGTGTGTGTGCGCGCGCGCGTGCGTGCGTGCGTGAATATACAAGGTTTTGAAACTTAACTGAGCGGAAGAATAATTGTGTTATTCTAAAATAAACCTCGAACGTGTTATCGATAAAATTTTATAACAAAAACAAATTAATAATTGTTTGCGCAATATAATGAGAAAGGAAAATAGGTAAAGATTTGTATTCTGATATTGTACTCTGCTAGCGTCATGTAATTCATAATCAAATTCCGATCAGAAGATTATATATTCTCTGAAAACGAAAACAAGCACACATTGCATGATGTAAAATTTCATCCACCTTTCTATCTCATTTCCATCTGAGCCCCCGAAAAAACCACAACAACAACAAGAACATAAGCATGTTATCAACATATCGTAACCTTTTTTGAAAGTCCCTTGAACGGAGTGGAGCGTGGTGGCTCTGCCTGATCGATTTGAGTAGTTCCGAGCAACGTATCTCAGTTATCCCCTGGAGTCGATCGATTCATCGACTGGTAGCGGCGAGTGGCGTATCGCCCCGGAGGCGATGGTATCTGGAAGGTCGAGCCCCCGCCGAGGGCGAGGCGGCGGCGCCGCTGCCAGTCGCGTGCTGGGGGCTCGTCCTGTCGGGGCGGCGGCGCCGGCGACCGCCTCAGGTACTGGCGCGCTGTTGGGGGCGTGGCTTTCGCTTGCGAATGCGCTGCAGTGACGGCTAGCCAGGTTGATTGACTAGTTTCTGGGCACCTCAACTGCTATTGCCGTTAGTCCCCTTCATGTAGTGATTGTTTTTTTTATTGCGAGAGGTGGCAGTGTTTCTCTCCAGCTGGATGGTGAGTTCCGGCGATGACCTTCACGTCGGCGTATTCGGGAGATTCCACCTCCAGGTATCTCCCTCAGACGGAACAAGCTTTAACCTTCTGGCTGGTCTCCCGACATGGTTGGTAGTGTAGTGAATATAAATGGAAGTGTGTTTGTGTAAGGAGTAACTATAGGACAAGGAAGAGGAAGGAAATGTCGCGACCGGTTCGTGGCCCGGTTTTGGGGAACTGCTCCGGCATTCACCTGGTATTGATCGGAGAAAACACGGAAAACTACCGATCAAAGCAGCCAGTAGGACTCGCTACGTGAAGGTGAAGTGCCAATTCCCGTATTTTTTTCGCGCACTTCACATTCTTTGTTGTTTTCTTGAATTTATTTGAGTTATTTTGTTTGCTCAAAACAGTGAATTCTATTTTTTCTTTCTGAAGTGCGTGCGTTTTTCTTTAATTCGTTTATTCTCTCTTAGTACATTCTCTCTTAATACTAATCCGAGCGATTCACGATTGCATGCCCAACTCATGTCCATCCTATGCCAAACGAACCGCGCGATGATGAAAAAGGCACTGGGCTGTCTCAACTGTGTACACCAAGGGTCTGTTTCGAAGCTACAATATTTCGGTATAGTGAGAGTCAGTTTACAGAAAAAGTGGAGAAAAGATTTTGAATTCATTGGTCAGCCATTGGTCTACACTTGCCTCAAATTTTCGCTTTTTTTTTTTGAGAAAATTTACATTACTGCAATATAAAACTCACGAATTCTGTTGTTGCGGCACGGTAATCGATATTGTTGGGTATTTCTTGCGATATATCTATTCAAACAATAATCGTATACCGTTATTTGAGAAAATATGGATGCAAATAATTCTCCTGAACCTAAAGATACTTGATGATGATGTTGAATAAGGAAGTTGGCGCGTCGAATTCCAATGGCGACACCTTCAGATTGTCAGTAAATATGATTACGGGAGGAAAGTTTCATTTGGTGGAATGTCAGGAGAATGAGGTTAATTTACCACACCTTGTTTTAATTACACTAATAATATTACAATTAACACTAAATATCCAAAAAACTTCGAGTTACTTATATTCTGAACTGTTTGAATCTGGTTTGTTTTGTACTTCGCCATGTTTTTTTCTTAATAAACATTTGACTCGCCATGAATCGATGGTTGTTTATTTACGTTGCTAAGGGTGTTAAAACCCGTTGCTAAGGATTTTAAATTTCTTAATCTACAGGTAGGCACTTAACAAACTTATAGGGTTGCATGTTAACAAGGGTTAAAGACGCATGTGACCGATAAACATTTTTACAATGTTTTCGACATTCAACTACAGTAAGGTGGATTCTCATGATAGAGTTTAGCGGAACTATTTTTATTTGTGATGCTTTATTTTCTTTTTCGATTAAAAAAACTAATATTTATGTATCTAATTTTGTGTATATATCTGTTCCCTTCACATCCCTGAAAAGTAATAGTGTATTTATCTGTTCCATTGCCCTAATGAGAAAACAATCAATTTCCGAAACGTACAATCAATATATTAATTGACCAACGCCCAATAACGTTTTCATATTTCATATTGTGATCATGAATTCCACAAGTTAAAATAACATAATAAGGTAGAAGAATATGAAAATAATGGTAATTAAAATAGAATGAAAGTAAAGCAAGAAATGTGATATAGTTAAGCTGCAAGTATTTTAGAAATGAAAGTAAGTTTACTTACGCCTTCATGTTTGAAGTTAATCAGGCTGTGTATAGCAACTACTAGCATAGCTCTTGTATGATACACATCTGTATAATTTATATTATACAGATATATTTGTATTATACACGTCTGTATAATTTTGTACCTATCAATAGTAACTGTGATAGCTATGGGGAGATAAATTGATTTATTTTCTGTTTCTACGTTCATTAGTAACGTAAGTGACAAGTTATATCCTGGTAGGAGGCGGTGTTCCCTCATTCGCTGGAACGTTAGATCCGACGCGCACCTGCACGTGATTTCGGTTTTCCCCTTCCCGGTTCTACCTCTCCACAGCTGGGTATCGCTCTAGCTGGGACACTCTCTAAGTGATCGACTGGTCTTTCGGCATGGGAGCGCATGTGTGTGTGTGTGTGTGTGTGAGTGTAAGGGAAAGTAGGGGGACAGGATTAAGAACGGGAAGATCACGCGTGGTCCTTGTCCGATTTTTAGGATTCTGCCCCGGCATTCGCCTTGTACTGAACGGAGAACGCATGGAAAACCACCGATCAGAGCACTCTCCTCACTACCACTGGTGGACTCGGTGGTTGAATTTGAGGTACGTATTGGCTAGTGTCGAAAATCTCTCTCCTTCGGAACTCAAATATTAGGATCTCCTGATCAGAGGCACTGACAACAGGTCTCTCTCTCTCTCTGAGTCACTTCAGCCGATGTGATGACAGGCTTAGAAGGCTCAGGGTATCAGTTAATGTACCTACTGTGTCTCTGACAGGGAGGCTCTAGGGTTACAGTCCTGTTGATAGTAGGTTTTTTGACACTAGCTTGATAGCTTCACTATGTGATCAGAAGTATCCGGACACGTCCAAAATAGTGTTATGATGTGATCGTGTTTTTCATGGAGGGAACTTGTACATCTTGTTGTTTTGTGTGGAACTGTCACGGCACAGGCCTACGTTGATGCTTTGCCTCTCTGTTGATGAGCAATTCGGGGTTGGCGATTGCATCTTTGAACACGATTGTGCACCTGTTCATACTGCACGACCTGTGGCGGAGTGGTTACTTGACAATAACATACCTGTAATGAACTGGCTTGCACAGAGCCCTGACTTGAATCCTATCAAACACCTTGTGATGTTTTGGAACGCCGACTTCGAGCCAGGCCTCACCGATATACATCGATATCTCCCCTCAGTGCGCACTCCGTGAAGAATGAGCTGGCATTGCCCAAGAAATGTTCCAGCATCTGATTGAAAGTATGCTTGCGAGAGTGGAAGCTGTCATCAAGGCTAAGGGTGGGCCAACACCCTTTTGTATTCCAGCATTACCGAAGGAGGGCGCCGCGATCTGGAAAGTCATTTTCAGCCACGCGTACGGATACTTTTGATTATCTAGTGTAGGTCAAATTTACGCCCTAACACTCTCTCGAAGAGAATTCAAGGAATCGGATACTCTGATCGGTTGTTTTCCGTGTCCAATCTACTGTAGGGGATTGCCAGGACAGTACCCTAAAACATGGGCCACGGACCGCGCGCGTTCTTTCCTTCCTTGCCTTATCCTCACCCCATTACATACGCATTACACTATCACACATGTCGGGAGCCTATAGCTTGGCGCTGCTGGGCTGGTGCGATGCCTTGCTGGTGGGAGGTATCAGATTCGCGAAAACCCAGCAAACCGTCGTGTAGGTCAGCACCGGATTTCTTCATACAGGAAGGATAATCACTGCCACAGCGCATGAAAATAATTATGCACTAAACTTACGGGACTAATGACCTTAGCAGTTGACGCGCCTAAAAACACCAATCACTCAGTCCAACGATGTGATGTTCACGAAATGACGCGGAGCCATCTCGGCGGAGCAGGCAGCATGGGGAGCGCTCTGTTGTTCCCGCGCGTGCGCAGGGGCGTGAGCGGGCCATGGGGTGGCGCGTGCTGCTGCCCGCCTACTACGCGGCGCTGTGCGTGGGCGTGCTGGTGGCGGCGCGCGACGGCTGCCGCTTCCAGCGCTCGGTGCGCGGCCTGCTGGGCGTCGCCGCGCACGCCGCCTTCTCCCTCTACACCGCCGTCGCCACCTTCCAGCAGGTCAGCCTCTGCGCTCCAACTCTGATGACCTGAGCTCGCTAGCGCCTTCAAATCACCCGAGATATAGATCACGAACACCTCTATAATGACTTAAAATAAGACGAAAATGAGCTTTAAAATGACTTAAAAACGAGAGAATGACTTAAAAATACGGCGGAAATTACCTAATTTTTTGAAAAATACAGAAACAAATTGAACGAAAATGTTGATTATAGTATTAAATAAAATTTATTGATATATAATTATATTTAATATGACTCCTTTATTCTAGCTGTAAATGTAATCCTTATCTCCGGTTCTCCAACCGTCAAGTTACCGAAGATCTGTATAATTTTGCGAGTTTTGTACGTTGCGAGTCCACTGCAGAAATGAATTCAATCATGAATTAATGATACAGTAAAAACTGTTTTAGTTTGTCATTCATGAAACACTCACTTACAAAAAACCCGAAAAGGAAATATAATGTGTAAAAATGACAAAAATCGCGCAATGATACAAAAAATGACCAAACATTTGAATATATCAAAAAAGGACAAGAATGATCAAATACCTATACATTTATATTATCTATAAGTCGTGATAATCATTCCTTTACACGTTAGCTACATCTATAAAGCACTAATGAAAAGATGATATGTCATCACTACCCGAGCCCTGGTCGTCATCATCATCTCCTATAAGGTATTTAGTTTAGAAAATCGTGCGATGTTTCTTCTCAAACACATTTCGTGATTTTGTCATTAAATGAAAAGTATAGGGCTCAAAAAGTGTTATCACTTACTCGTATCTGCCGGTTTTATTGAATAAATGTGTCGCAAAATAAATGTTGGAATCTTCTAGCATGTACAGAAATACAGTATGACCACTTTTTTCTCTTGAACATATACTGGGAAATCGTAATGGATTTATGCATTTGTGCATTTGCGCTCGGGATTTTTAATCAGTCTCTTATGAATATACTGGCGGGTACTTGAAACTTTCTTGACAGCATTTGAAAGTGATCTTTTGGATAAGGAATCGCTTAAAATCAGAGGAAATATCCAATAACTTCGAGTATATGACTATAGTGTGATATTCCTCGCCTCGATTCCTTTCTATAATAACTAATATTACTTTTAACTAATTTTTGGGATAAATTGTAACAATGATGCTATTATATAGCATTCAAAAAGATCAAATAGACATACTCTTGGATAGCAGAAAATAGGTACATCGACGGCATCAGAATCACCATAAATTTCCGAATTTAATGCTTATTCATTACTACTTCACTTAACCAGGGGAAAATTTGTAGTGTAGAACAAATGAGTAGAAAGTGAATATAATTAGGGATAAAATTGTACTAACTATTCCAAGAATTAAAACATTAAATATACTGCTTTCAATCATTTTCCAAATAGACCATGTATTGTGGCACCTCATATAATCAATCATATCATATTTGCCGTTCAACAAAAAACGGAAGTAAGTGCTCATTTCGATAGGTCATACATGCAGTAAAACAATGTTCTAATAGTATTTTTCATATTTTTAGTACTAGTTGAAAATAAATTCAAGAGATTAATTTGTAATAAAGCGGGAGATAAAAATCTATTTTCGAATGACAATCCTTTGATGTAAATATGTTCCAAATATGATAGAATTTGTACTACTTATAGAATATGCAGACATAATATACTGATCTTGCCAATTCCTCTCCTCAAAATAAACTATTAAAATGTTCTTCGCAAGTCTTTAAAAGCCGATAAAAGCTCGACTCACGAGTTACAAATGGGAAAATATTTCCCATTTCCTGCGTTTTTAAAACCTAGAAGTTTCGTCTCGCACTAAATAAATGAATTTGCGCTACCCTCCTGAAATCTCAGCAACAAACTGGGAGACATGCAGGACGTACAAAATCTTACGAACTTCATCGAAACAGATGGTGAAAAAATACTATACCAGAGACTTACAAAGGGTGACACATTTAAATTAGTCAAATGTTTAGTTAATAATATATGATGACTACGAGTAAACGATCCGTATCATTACCATGCTGCTCGATTGTGGCTTGTGTGCCTTTGGACATATATTGCAATTAAGAGTGCATTAAAGGGGACGTAAGTATCTTCTTTTATCGAGTAGTCAATTACAGAACAAAAAAAAGTCTTTCCTTTTCAGTTGACATAGAATTCCTTAATCAACGGTTATTACATTCCGTGATGAATTTTCAAAGAGTGAAGTGTGATGTTACAGCTTTCAACTCGTAAAGTTTTGTCCTTTGATTTCTAAAAGTCATGATCTTTTCAGTTTCAATTGCGGCGAATCCAAGCGTTGCATTTTACATTCACAATCACCATGCAAAAAGCAAGCAAATGCATCGTATTTGAATCGTTTTTGAGCGACTGAGGTGTAAAAGCATGTGTATCACAGTGCAACGCTGGAATACGATTCATCAGTTATACCGATTACCTCGGTTCTATTTTCTATGCTGAAAGAAATGATGCTATATTTAGCCAGACATCTCAACTAGTGATAGAAAGTGTGCCGAGAGAAAAAATGAACGGAAAAGCATGCATTCATAAAGACAACAAGTAGAGGGAATGTATTTAAGCTAGAGAAATTACTTAGAAATTCTTCCTTAAAAGTAAATATTTTAAATGAGCTTGTTCAATCTTTTGCAGCCCTTCTCGAACGCCCCCACCTGGGAACCTGTTGTTGAACCCGTCGTATAGGGTTACTGGACGTTGCATGGAGGTCTTGAATTTCTAATAGTCATTGCAGAGTGTTTGGTCTATACACTAAATTCGAATATATAAAAAAACATTAGAATTTTCTTAGATATACCCGTTTTACACATTGTAATTCAATTAGTGCCTTCCTTTTCTGATGCACGAATCAACTTCGGTAAACTGTGATTTTTCCATAATAAACAGTTTAGCTTCATTCCGACTTTCCGTTCAGGAATGCCTGTAAGTTTATTACCTGCACTTTCAAAACAATTTCTAAATCAAACAGTCTTTTGCCGGACTGATGCTAATGATAAATTTCAAGTGCTAATGACAAATTATTCCTTGATACTATAAATATTAGTCCTTGATAACGTAATGTGCAGTTCATATTTAATTTGGAGTGTCTACATCAAAAGTTTAATAGGCATTTGATTCAAATTCAACGTCTATTTATGGCACACTGAATACAGTAGTCGTAATGTTTGAAAAAAAACCTTCCGCAACACATAAATATCATGAGACTACGGTACAATTTTCTGAGAGTATTTTTTTGTTTTACTTTGCGGGCTGCGCAGGTGGTGCCGCGACTGGGCCGGCGCTCATGCAACATCGACAACAACTGCCTGTCGGTGGCGGTGTTCTCGACGCAGCTGGCGCTGGAGGCCGTGGCGGTGGGCGGGGCGCTGCTGGCGCAGGGGCGCACGCTCGCCTGCCTCAACGGCCTGACGGCGCTGCTGCAGCTCACGGGGCCGCGCGCGGACGCCGTCCCGCTCCACGCGTACGTCCCGGCAGGTGCGTCCCGCAGCCTCTCGCCAATCGACAGGCGGAAGCCGTTAGCGTATCGGACTAATATACCCAAGTTGGCGGGTTCAATCCCGATCGAAGCCGTGGATTTTTAAGGGCGAAAAAATCTATCATACGCCTTCCTTCGTACGCCTTCCTTCGTACGCCTTCCTTCGTACGCCTTCCTTCGTACGCATTCCTTCGTACGCATTCCTTCGTACGCATTCCTTCGTACGCATTCCTTCGTACACCTTCCTTCGTACTCCTTTCTTCGGAGGTGAAGTAAAGCCCGGCTGTCCCATGTTAGTAGACTTACTGCATGTAAAAGATCCTCAAAACTAAATGACGCCTCTGAGCTAAATTCAAATCGCCTGTTTCGTTGCTACGACATTAGTGCCGGAATGAGTGAGTATTGACTGATAGCCAGTTACGGGTACTCTTTTTTTATTTCCTTCCTTTCGTTGGACCCGTAAGTGCCGGCACTTCCTTACTACCTCTTCCGACATGTAAGTGTAGTGCGCGTTGTAACCCGGGGGGTTTTCCCCCCCGCATTGGAGCGTGGGATCGTGCGTCGACAGACACATCATCATGCTTTATTACTCCCACCTTCCTCCGGACCTGTTTGGCAGTGTCTTGTGTGAATCTAAATGTATTCATATGTATGTACTTGGCACGACAGCCCGGGCACGGACTCAGGCCTACCGACTCACGGCTATCGGTTAAGGGGGTACGTGTGGTTAGCACGTAGACATCCCCACGCCGTATTCGGGTCTTTTCAACCTGAGAAGTGAATTGTTTCATCGTCACACAGGAACATATACTGGGACATTTCAAGGAAAACGCACACTATAATCTTGACTCGATCAGGAATCTAACTCGGTGCCGCGTACTGGAAAGCGAACACGCTGAGCAAGAGCTAGCCACGAGCCATTCATTACGTAATAAATGTTCCCACTCGCTTTCACTCACACTCGCCTTCGCTCCCATTCGCCCTCGCTTCTACTCGCCCTCGCTCCGCTCGCCTTCGCTTTTTCCTACGCGCGCAGCACTCGCTCTCTTCCCCTTACCCTCGCGCTCGCCCCCTCGCTCTTTAACTCTCCCCATCTCTCCCGCACTCGCACTCGCTCTCGTCCGCTCGTCATCGTTCTCTCCCGCTCACCCTCGCACTTTCTCTCGCTCTCTCTCACTCGCCTCCGCTCTTTACTACTCGCATACGTTATCTTTCACTCACCGCCACGCTGTCTTTCACTCACCATCGCTTTCTCACACTAGCCCTCGCTATCATCCACCTGCCCCCGCAGTAGCTCCTGGGCCGCTGTTCACGTGGGGTTCGCGTTCCATTCTCACATGCGCGCGCAACGTTGCCGCTGTTGACCTTGCTGCACACGGCGCTGCTGGTGGCGCGGCCACTTCTTCACTCTCAAGCGCCCTCTCTCTCTCTGACTCCCTCTCGCCCTCCCGCTCTTCCTCCCGCCCGCAGGGACAGGCCAGCACTACATATCGACGTGTACGCACAGTGTTGCCGTTGCTGACCGTGGTGCTGGCAGCGCTGCTCCCGGCAGTGGAGCCTGGCGCGGATCTCCCCCCCTCTCTCTCTAACATACGCACAGACACACTCCGTAGTTGTCATCCACCCGCCCTCGCCGGGGCCCCTAGGCCTATCTCTGTGGGGACCCGCGCTCCATTCTTGCCTGAGATCGTTCATTTCCGCTGCTGTCCTTGCTGCTCGCGGTGCTGCTGCTGGTGGTTCTGCTGCCGACGGTGGTGCCCGACGGGGCCCTCTCCCACTTGCTCTCGCTCTCTTCCTCCCGCCGTCGCGGTGACCTTTGGGTTGCCGTTGGGGACGGTTCCGCGCTTCATTCCCACGCACGAAGCATTACCGCTCCTGGCTCTGCTGCGCGCGGCGCTGCTGGCAGCGCTACTGCCGGCGGTGGTGCCAGGGGGGCCTCTTGTCTTCCATTCCCCTCCCTGCCACGCACCCTCTCACTCACCCTCGCTCTCATTCACTGAACCACGCAGTTGCCCTTGGGAGGGCCTGAGCTTATTCCCACGTGCGCTTGCAGTGTTGCCGATGCTGACCGTGACTCGTACGGCGCTGCTGGTGGCGGTGGAGCCCATCGCCTCTCTCTCCCACTTTTCTTCCACACACCATCACTCTCTTCGTCTCGTCCTCCAGGCGTCGCAGTGGCCTTGGGCCGCTACTCGTTCGCTGCATTCCCAAATGCGCGCGCAGTGTTGCCGCTGCTGACCATGGCGCGCGCAGCGCTGCTGGCGGCGGTGGTGCCGGTGGATGGTGCAGGTGGTAGAGCCGGCCGCGGTGCTCGGCGAGGATCTTTCTCACTCTCTCCCTCTATTCCCCATCTCTCTCTCTCTCTCTCTCTCTCTCTCTCTCTCCCTCTCACCCTCGCTCTCTTCCTCCAGGCGTCGCAGTGGCCCCTGTGCCGATACTCGTTCGCTTCATTCCCAAATGCGCGCGCAGTGTTGCCCCTGCTGACCGTGGCGCGCGCGGCGCTGCTGGCGGCGGTGGTGCCGGCGGTGGTGCCCGGCGCGGCGCTGGCGGCGCTGATGGCGTCGGGCGCGGCCCGGGAGGCGCTGCTCAACGCGATGCTGCTGGCGCTGCAGGCCGGGCTGCGCGCGCTCAACGCCGAGCTGGCTGCGCTGCGCCACCACCCCGACGCCGCGCCCGAGCTGCACCGCCTGCGCCGCCTGCACGACGAGCTGTGCCGCCTGGCCGCGCGCGTCGGCCGCCGCTTCGGACTCGACGTGCTCGTGCAGGTCACCGTCGCCTTCGTGCAGGTGCGCAACACGTCCTTTTCTTTTTTTTAAATTGACATTGGTTGACCAACTTGAACATATAGCGACTACTGTGATTGTTTTAACTGTATGTGGATTTGTGGTAAGAACACTGAAGGACAAACCAAGCACACAAGCATCCATGCCGGAGGCGGGTTTCGAATCCGTCACTCTTCCAGCCAAGGCAGCTACGCCCCTGTAGCCCTATCGTCCTCGGACGGCACAATGGGGTTATTAATTGATTATTCTGTTTTTACGCGCGTGCCAACTGCTATTGCTATAATGTGGCAGTCATTCTCGCTCAAGTTACTTTCCTAAACTGTTTAGACAGGGTTGCCTTTTCGGTTTTGCCTCGCTTTTGCAGCTGATACCCATCGGCGACTGAAATATATTTTTCCATAGTTTCTAATTTGTTAGGCACCCTAATGGTTGAATTGAAATATGAATTCATGAATACACCTTTCATTTAAAAACATGAAGCCGTTTAGAGAAAATGTTTGTGCGTTTCTCAATATCCGAAAATTTGAGCTCATATTCACAGACAAATTTGTGTTTCAAAAACCTTCATTAAAAACTTTTGGAGCCCTAATGTTCACAAATGCAATAAAGTATCAAACACGCACATAATGCAAATTTGAAGGTAAAAAATCGTGCTAATTTTTGGAAAATTAAACAATCCTCAAAATGGTTTTGATGTGTTATTCAACGCATATTACGCTCACACCATAAACGAAGAGAAAGAAAAAAGAACCTTAGTTGAGAAAAATGTTGGAAATGTTATTGAGGTTTGATGAAAAACATTCAGAAAAATGAAAATATGCCTCAAATACGAGGGACCGCGACAGTCAGATCGATGGGAGAATATCAGTTTTGGTGAAAATTCTGCCTGTGATTTATTCGCTAGTGTTCTTCATAAACCCATGGACAGACGGACTACAAAAGACATAGTAGTACATACGTAGTAGTACAATAGACATAGTACAGTAGTACAATACAATAGACGGTTGTACATAGACGACCAGACGTATTGCCGTCGTGAATACTGACTACACAATGTGCTAGAGAAATTAATTTTTAACATATAGAGTGGTTCAGTCCTCGTTGATCATATAGGATACAGTGTTAGAGTACACTAAGTTAGAGTACACATGACTGCAAGTAAAATAGTCTAAATCCTATTCGAAACTTTGAAAAAAAGAATTGTTATTGGTAATTTTTTTGTAATAAGGTAACACATTAAATATTGTTCCCTGTGTTTATTATTGCCTATTGATCTAACGAATATGAAAGGAGAAAGAAAAAACTAATTTTTAAGTGTTATTTAGGACAGATAATCATATTTGTATGTACAGCCAAACATTCGCACTTTCACCTCGTGTAACAGGGGCTCTACAAGTTTTCAAAATGGACTGCTCCTGCGTGAACACATGATTGACATCTGTTCCGCATTGCCTCCATGACCAGTACAACTTTTCAAGGTCGTACTACCTTTATTTCTGACACCACGCTTTCAATGCGCCAAAGATCACCACGATCGTTGACTTCGGTAGCGTAAATGCGATATTTCATTTTCCCTCAGCTCCAAAAGCGTTGGGAGAACATGTGTTATTGAAGTCAGATAACCCACCCATGTGCAGAAAATCGGTCTTCCGCTATGTGGAACATACGGATTCCCTTGGCCCTCACATGCAAATTGTGCACATTTAATGTGACATTTCTTGTAAAACTCGCTTCACCTAACCAAAGAATGAAATTCCTGGTTTTCTTTGGATGTGCGCAGGTAATGCGTAGAGAATTGAAAATGATCTTCATAAGTCTCTACTGCGCAAATGCTGCACCCACTTGAAATGGAAAAATCGTAATCTCTACGCATGAAGTGTTAGCCAGACGAGGGACTTTGATGCATTGATTTCGCGCACTATTTGCCTTGTGCTCGTTTTCGGAATTTCTTGGATCCATTGAGTTTTCCAGAGATGGAGTGAACCTAAACCGAGGTGAAGCCGCTCGGTCATTTTTCGTAGGTCATGTTACACG